TTCTGTCCACCATATGGTGGTTAGGATGACTACCACGATAACACCCAAGCAGGTACTGCAACGAAAGCAAATGATTCTGTGACGTAAGGGAAGAACCTTCGTCTCCTCATGTAAATGGTCCACAGGAGTCATGAGGAGGCACCCTGTTGCAGTTCTCAGTGCGGCATTCTGGCAGGTCTGAATACTTTTCCACTGCGTTGCACTCGTAATCGCAGACAACACTGGAGCCGCATAGCTAACCACAGACCGATCTATAGCTTTATAAGAGGTCAACAAAGTTTCCTTATCCTCAACCCAAGTGCTGCCGGCTAACGCCTTGAGGATCTTGTTCCAATCGCAGATAATTGTGGCTTGCGCTGAGGACTTGAAAATGCTATCGAATGTGACCCCAAGGATTTTGGGGTAGTTAGTGGTCGGAATTACGTTCGGAACACATTCAGCTGTGTTCTCATCTCCGCAGTCCATGCGTTCTCATCACCGCAGTCCTGACACATATGTCATAAACTACAGGACCCGACGCCATGATCGTACGGTCATGGTGCTATGTAGTGGATGGAAACCGTGTTGATGGTTAGCAACTGATAAGCTTCCTCCGATACTGGAGAGGAGTTAAGTCTCGAGAGTCTTTGCTACTGGCTACAAAAGCGAAATTGGGTTGTATGATTCGCCTTTGTTGGCACCCTTGCCTGGCTTTAGTAGGGGACCACCCTATCCATTTTCCAGGCTTCGGGAACTATGGCTAACGACAAGTTAAGGTCTTTGTATATATACTCAACTTTCAGTGTATCCAGTTGCTTCAAAATTACCATTGATATTCCGTCCGGGCCCAATGCTTTAGACGACTTAGCGTTTCGGATGACATTCGCAACATCACCCATCGTAAACTCTGGAGGTACATCTTCGGCGGGAAGAGCTCTTATATGACGTAGTACATTTCGTCTCGCACTATCACTCTCGGGGTGCTCGACAAATTGACCAGCGCACCTCTTCGGATCAGTCACCGTTACGTCGTTAAATGTGACTGCTGTCCTATCATCCTTTTTCCCATGGTTCGAGAGTGACTTTACTTTTACCCACAATTTACTCAAATCGGTTCCAATGTTGCAACACTTCAGATTGGTCTAGCCACTTTTCCACTTATGCTCTTGTACCAACCTGTTGACTTCCACTGTCAGTTCACTGACACTGGGATCAGTAGGGTTGGTACGCCGGAACTCATCACACTCATTTGATAGTCTCGCTGCCTCTGCTGGGAAATTAGGTCTTACTTCGGGTATTCGACTGGCAGGTATATAGCGAGGTTGGTGAACTCTCTGAACTCAGGCCAGTGGGCTTTCCCACGGTTAAGGAAAGTGCGGCGTTCAGAGGTTATGAAATTGGGCGATCTGCTGATGGAGACGATTATCGGGTGATGGTCTGACCCAAGAGAAATGAAGGGTTGTCAAGTCACGTCATTTATCAGACCGGGTGACACAATGGTTAAATCTGGCGATCTGTGACATTCTCATCTTATTCGAGTTTACCGTGCAAAATGTGGAGCAGTCAATCTGCTCTGCCAACGCTGATCCCCTCTGGTCATTACCTAGGACGGAATGTCACAATTTATGGTGGGCATTGAAATCCACTAGTACTAGGCGGTTATTGCCTACCAAAAGTGGGCTTATATTAGGCAAGTTACGCGGTTCACAGCTATTAACCGGCGGGATATACACATTAAGCACCTCTACCTCGGCAGTACCACACTTGACTGCTACCCTCTGTTTGTCTGTATAGAACAGAATGGTGTAACAGGAACGCTATTCCCCCATCTCCACTTCTGGTGCGATCTTTCCTCAATACGTTGTAACTATTGCAACGTAGTAAGCTGCAATTTTCATTGAGCTTGGTTTCCTGCACCGCTGCGATCTTAATATTCCTCCGATTCATAGAATCCACTATCTCATCAATTTAACCTCGGAGTCTGTTTAGTCTTGTAGAAACTGTACTTGTTGTAAAGTTGTGTGTTGTAGTTTGTGTGTTGAATGTACTTCTTTAAATTTATTCTCATTTTTAAAAGGCATGTGTTTTCCATATGCTAGGTTTATGGTCGTAATAAATAATGTGATAAATGTCACGACCATAAATAGAAGATAAGAAAGGGTCGATCACAAACTAGGTACGTTTCGATTTCTCCCGCAATGTGTGCGTGGGCTGCATTAGGTATTTAACGCACATCGTGCATTAGTAAATAATATCCATGTGTAAATGTATTAGATGTAAGGTTTAGTGTTGAGAAAATGTTGTTAAGAAATGTTGTAAATATTTCCAGCCACGGAACGAGAAACATCATTTCGCGGCGTTTTCCTGTTTTTGTTACACCGTTTTGTGATGAGGTTAGGAGTCGACGTCATCAGAGTCCGTTGCAATTGAATTGCAAGAATGATGCACCGTTCGGAATTTCAACAGCAACATGTGGCGTTAGGTGCTGCGGTAAAGGTTGCTGTTCTTCCGTTGCGGAACAATTTCTTAAATGCACCCATCCTCCGCATCCATTACATCGCACCGAGACTGAACTGTGGTGGATGGTGTTTTGGCAAGCCGTATAGAACCATGGTCCGGGGTTTTTCTCAATCCCGGCACGGACCAAAAGAGTCCGGAGCAAGCATTCCGGGATGTGCTGCTCCTAATACAGAAAAATAAACAAACACGAAAATATATACAATGGGTTGGCAGTCGCTGGCCGAAACTGGAGTGTTGTAGTTTCGGGTCAATCCAGTGTCGTAGAACCCGCTGCCGTGGGATCGACAATTTGTAGTGATACATCTGCGTGTCCCACCTCTTTGTCTGCACTCCTTTGTAAATTAGTCCTCCAGAAACTCACTACATGTTAATTTATCTAAAATTAAGACATTAGTTGCATATTACCGCGATTTTCCAACTTTTGACCAATTCTTTGGCAACAATTAAAAACAACACAAAAGCCTAGTTTGTGATGATTTCACCATACTTTGTTTTTGATCCATTTCCTTGAATACCAGAAACACTTTCAGAAGTGTAATTTTTATTGTCGTTGAGAAATAGTAAGGTTTTATCCAATTATTTTTGTTTTTATAAAGATAATTTTGTTTCTGTGGGTCCTCTTCTATGGAGCTTGTGCTCGTCACATCCACATATCATTACTAGTAATTTTGAAAGTAACTACGATTTGTGAAAGAAAATGAGATGTTTCATGTTTTTGATAATGCAAACATTACTATTACAATTCAATGTTATGAAAATAAATGCTGGATTTATTTTATTTGTCATGTATGTTTAGTTTGTTTAAGATAGTAGAAAATTATAAGAATAGGTAAAAAGAAAATAAAATTTTAAAAATACCAAATACAGCCGTTATATTGGGGTCTATACGACGAGGACCTACATTGGCATTGTTCGTCATAAGCCATTACCATATTCAAACTCGAAACTTGAAATAAACGGTGAATAATGTAGCTAAAATCATCAAAATATCGAATATAGGAAGGTACCGTTATATCGGAGCTGTGCGAAGACCTGGACCTGCATAGACAATTTTCTGTCACAGGCTGTAGCATCCATTACGAACTTCAAATACCACATCTCAAATACCGAATATTGGGAGGTACCGTTATATGGGGGCTATACGAAGACGTCAACCTGCACAAACAATTTTCTGTCTTAAGATGTAGTATCCATTTCGAACTTCAAATACCAAATTTGAAATAATTCCGGTGAATAATGTCGCTAAAATAAATCCATAGTATGATGGAGGGTATAAAAATAAATAATAAAATCAATGAATAAAGGTGTACAAAAACTAAAGATTTTACAAAGTATGTCTCAGGTTTTAAAATCAGTTTTTTGATTTCGGTGTAAATAAAATATATAATATATAATATAGCCTAGAAGAATTTGGTGTAAATCGGTTCAGATATAGCCATAGCTTTTATATATGTTTCATCCGATTTTATATTAAGTCCCGTTGAAGTCAACAAGTTATTTTAAATTATTTATCGTTGTCTGTATCGGGACTTATATTTTTTCATTTTACTAATTCTCCTGTCGAATTTTGTATAATTTAGCCAAGTCGTATAAAATGTTCAATCAGGTACTGTTGTTTCATTTAATAATGAGTGTAAATATATGAAAATGTAAATATTAAATTTACAATCCTTAACACCGTCAGATTTTTTTCACGGATTTGTCTAAAAATGGTATTTGTAGTTCGTAATGGTTTCCAGCCCGAGATATATATTTTTCCTTGCTTTAGTTGTACTAAAATCTAAAAAAATAAAATTGTTTAAATATCGCTAAATTGTTAGTGGTAGTGAAATTCGATAACTCATTACTACTAATCATTAAGTAGCACTGAAATTTTAATATCACTACCATTAATTATTAAATGCTTTGTGCGCTAAAAATCTAGTGCAATAAGCCCATCCTTGGTTTTTACGTTTTTTTTTTTCGAAGCCGGATTTTTTTTATAATCCGAGGGCGCTATCTAAAAAAAGTAGAATAACAGAACTTGTGATTTTACTTCGACTGATGCCGCTTGATGAGCTTACCGGAGTGGTTTTAAGTTCGAAATGTGTACTACAGCCTATGACAAAAAATTGATTATGCAGGTCCACGTTTTCGTATAGGCACCACATATCGATACCTACCTACATTTGGTATTTTAATAATTTTAGCATCGTTATTTACCTGGATTGTTTCAAATTTCGTATTTTAAGTTCGAAATGGATACTTTAACCTATGACAGCAAATTTTGTATGAGGGCCAATATTGGTTAATTCCTTCACTTTATACGAAATATGTGATAATTTCTACAAAATGTTAAAATGTGCGTGAGGTATCAGTTATAGTCGACCGAAGTATTTCATTTTCATACTTAATCTACCCTTTGTGTGGGCACCTGACCTAGCAGTAATGTAAATATTAAGATTTAAAAAGTTGGAACAAAATCTCTTTCAGTGCATTAACATTTTTTTTTTTTTGAAAAGTTCGACCTTTTATAGGGGAGGTACCAGAAGGAGTGGACCGATATTGCCCATCCCCAAACTCGATCTAAGCTTGGCAATAATATTACGATGTACCAAGTATGGACCAAATCGGATACTCCCTTCGAGGGTTATGGTGCCCACCAGCCAGGCGTACAGACGGACGGACATCGCTTGATCGACTCCAAATATCCTGAAACGGATTTGGTCCAAAAAAACCTAGAACCTACAACCGTTATTTCAATGAGGCACGTTTTGGCCGTATCAATGATATTTAATCTCTCTAGCCATATGGCTGAGGGATACATACTAACTTAATGTAGGTTCGTCAAAACCATATAAGAGTTAGTCGTCAGTCGTCAACAGTGCATTTGCGCTCTGTAAGGTATTGAATAATATCATGATGGAATTCTAAAAGTGCGTGTCTAGTGTAATTTTCCTCCTTGAAACCGAAAATTTGAATTAATTTTTTTACCTTGTTTAACCGACGTAACGAACTCATCTATAAAATGTTAAATTTTTTGTGACGTATTTTTCTTAGAGAATAATTGTACTTTTTAAATTCCAATATTTTTCGTATTAATAGAAATTTTTATATCAAACACTATTTTCAACCTCTATTGCTTATCATAGTGTGGTAATAATGTTTTTCGATAGCCATACTAGTTCCAAGACCAATACTAGCAGAATCCATTATTTTTTCTGGATATTTCTGTGAAATATTCGAAGAATTTGAAAAAATCAAATATTGAACCTAAATACATAATTAAAAACATATGCAAACTATAATCTATATCTAATATATATAATTTTATATTTCTTGTGGATTCATATTGGATATAATTTTTCATATTTTCTCGAAATACTCATGTCAGACCCGACAAAGTATACGGGTGAGATGAAAACACTGCAACCAACTTCAGACTGCTGTCATTTCTAAGCCACTAGTCCGACAGCTGTTAAAATTATTCCAGTGACAGCAGTTTACAAGCGTACAAAAGCATTTTGATTATAACTTTCCAGAAAAAAAGTTATTCGTGATGGAATTCAAGCGTGATAGTGTGATTTCTTTATATTTGGCTAAAAAACCACAAGTGACTATAGTTAGAGCACTCCAGCATTAAAATGTGAATAAATCGTTTGTGTCTCGTACCATCGCTCATTACCGTGATACTGGTAGCTTAGCCCGACGTCAAGGAAGTGGACGGAAGAATACAGCAACATCAGCAGAAATGGTTCGAAAAGTAAAGAAGCGACTTGATAGAAACCCGCGTCGCAGTGGTCGAAAAATGGCTCGTGAGCTGAACATATCACAATATTCCATTCTGCAAATACTGAGCAACGAGCTCGGGGTAAAGCCAATGAAATTCCAAAAAGTGGCAAGGTTGGCACTAAAAAATACCATAGTGTCGATCACCTCAAGCAAGTGCTTCGCCGGGAATGGGCCAAAATACCGCAGAGCAACCTTCGGGTAGCGTGTGACGGTTTCATAGGCCCTTTGAAGGCCATAATTCGTGCCAAAGGTGACCAATTCGAACAAATCTAAACTTATTCTATTGATGCTATTTCCGACATGTTTTGCTTTCATTCAATAAAATTTAAAAGAAAATGTGAAAATTGTGGCGTTTGACTTTGTTGCTGTTTTTTTATCTTACCCTATATATATATTCCTGATCAGGGTAAAATTCTAATTTGATTTAGCGATGTCTGTTTGTTTGTCTGTCTGTTGTAATAACGCCAAAGAAGACTAAATTTTTGTGTATTTTGTCTGTAGGCAGGTTAAGTTCGAAAATGAGCCATGTCGGTCCTCGTTTTCGTATGGCCCCAATATTACGGTTCCCCTAAATATTCGGTATTTTGTTTATTTTAGCGACATTACAGACCGTAATTTTGTATTGGAACTTGTTAATGAGTACTAACCCTATGACAAAAAATTTAGGTCCACGCCGTATAGCCCATATGTAACGGTACCTACCAATATTCGGTATTTCTATGGTATTAGAGACATTATAGAATGGAATTGTTTCAAATTGCATATTTAAAGTTCGAAATGGATGCTTCAACCTATGACAGAAAAGTCTATATGTGGGTTTACGTCTTCGAGAACCTCACATATAACGGTACCTCCCTTACACATTATATTCAAAGAAATTGTTTCAAAATTATTTGAGGGGCTAATGGGTACTACAGCCCAACGTACAATAAAAAGGTAAGGAAGAGCTGCTAGCAGATTACAATTTTTTTCTAAGTGTGAAATTTGTGAACAATAGAAACCCAATATTTTCAAAATCAACGATTGGCGGGCACAGCAAAGATCAGGGCTGTATATCTGCAGTTTTACGAAGCTGTTCTACCTCCTTATTGTACCATGATACAGTCTATGACAACAATTGCATATGCATGTTCTCGTCTTCGTATAGCCCCCACTACCACTAAAATTTAGTGGTAATGAAATTTTAATATCACTACCACTAAATTTAGTGATATTTCAAGCCAAAAAACGCTGTGTATATGTATTTTGATCCTTTTCACAGAATTATTGTTTAATGCAGACAAGCAATTTCTACCCAGACAATCAATGATTGCGTCCGTTGGTTTTGGAGGTGCCGTGTTTGTGCCCGGACATAATCCCCATTTCAATTATGGGGATTATGCCCGCTTTGTTCTTTGTCATAATCCCCATAATAATGTGGGGACTATGTCCGCTTCCAAAACAGACACAATCCTCATGGGCGGGAGTATGACCGTTTGCTGTGTGGACTATTTACAAAAATAATTAATTTTTAGAAATCTTTGATTCGCTGTTGCGAGGAGAAAATATCAAAAGACCGGCTACTTAAATAAATAACTAATTTTTAGAAATCTCTTTTTTGCACAACAAATCATTTTGGGTATATCCATTATTATGAGGATTGTGTCCGCAACATTCTGGGGATTATGACCTAACCCCCATTATGGAATGGAGATTATATCCATGAAGAAGCGGTCATAAACTCCATAGGGTAAGTGCGCTTAAGTTCGGCATGTCCCAGTAGTCGGCAATTGAAATTTAAACTTAAATAACTAAGAATAGAATTGACCAAATAATGAAATAATTGCAAAAAAACGTCAACGGTGTTCTCTGCTCTCTTTCTGTAGAAAAGCATTGAGCTCCGATCATTTATTACGAGAGAATAACGGTTTTCGTCAGTAAGTGTCTCCCAATGCGTGCGATAGTGCTTGTTTGTAAAAAAAAACCAGTAAAGAAAGTCCTAAAGTCGGGCGGGGCCGATTTTATGATACCCTACACCGCTTTGCTAATTTAGTTGAGCTCCACATAACAATTAAAAGAATTTATGGGAGAATTCAATCATACACGCTATGATTATATTCATAATTTAAAGTTCAAAGGAGTAAATATGCCGAAGCATTTGTATCTTTTAAATTCGGACTTGTATTGCCCATTTGGTGCAAAATTAATTTGAAATCAGATAAAGATATATATGGGAGCTATATCCAAATCCGAACCGATCTCGATAAAATTTAGCAAAGATATTTCTGAACTGTATTTAATATATTTCCCTGAATATCGTGGTTACGGAGTGCATATCACGGCTGTGGGTAACAAATACAACAAATCGGATGAACAATATATGTGGGAGCTATAGCTATATCCGAACCGATCTTCACCAAATTTGACATACTAGCTTCTAGACTCAATTCGGTCGTAAGTGCCAAATTTCATCCCATTTGAGCAAATATCAGACGTTTGGTGCACAATCAAAGGTAAATCGGACGAAGTTATATATGGGAGCTATATCCAAATCTGAACCGATCTCGATAAAATTTAGCAAATGTATTTCTGAGCTGTATTTGATATATTTCCCAAATATTGTTGTTACGGGGTGCATATTACGGCTGCGGAGGACAAAAATAACAAATCGGATGAACAATATATATGGGAGCTATAGCTATATCTGAACCGATTTCGATCAAATTTGGCATACTTATTTTCAGGCCTAATTTGGTTGTATGTGCAAAATTCCATACTATTCGGACTGATATTACACGTTTGGTGCACAATAAAAGGCAAATCGGACGAAGATATATATGGGAGCTATATCTAAATTTTGACCGATTATCTCCAATTTCAGTAGGGTTCGTCCTTGGGCCAAACAAATTATTTGTGCAAAAATTCATCTGGAAGGGCAATAAATGCAAACTGTACTTTGTTTACAAAAATACATGGACAGACGGACGGACGGACATGAATAAATCGACTCAGAATGTGATTCTATGCAGATCATCAAAAGGAACTATGGGTCTATCTCGTTTCCTTTTGCCTGTTACAAACAAATGCACAAAGACATAATACACTGACCACCTTGTGGTGTAGGGTATAAATAGTGGTGGCGTCAACTTAATAATCGATTTAAATAAATTAATTTAATATTTTTGGAATCAGAAATCTATATATATAAAAACCAATTGTTGTTTGTTGGTAACGGAATCAGTTGAAAACGGCTGGACCGATTTGCATAATTTTTTGTACAAACGTTCGTCATACCCTGTGTTAGGTTTTTAAAGAAAAAAATATTGACCACGCATACTACGCATACTGATTTATCTAAAATCTTTATATTTGCCAGATAATGAAGATATCGGTTTGAAAATTATTACACGAGATACTGTTGACTTTCCCTCCAACCCTAGGGATCTATTTGGGGTCTGAAGAACTGACAACGCATACTTCTAATCTATCTAAATATATAAAATAATATTGTGTTAGTTGCTACGCTTATAACTCAAGAACCGCTGGTCTGAGTTTAACGATTCACACAAATTCGAAATTGTCTCTTGGCAGAAAAGGATAAAATAAAAAAAAATCGCGTAAAATTGTGAATTTTGAAAATTTTCATTTTGACTTTTGAAGTGTACATTAGTAATGTTTTATTTTGCATGATTTTTTCCATTTTGACTTCCTATTTTGAAATGTACATTTGTAGTGTTTTTTTTTTTTTTTTTTTTTTTTTTTTTGAACTTTAATATGATGTGTAGTCTTTTTGGGTAGTATAAAGCGACGACAATTATGGAGTGGCGGACCTGAATAGATGCTGTCAAAATAATTAAACGTGGTCAAACCAAAGTTAAAAGATAATTAATTTTTCCAAGCTGCTAAAAAAAAACTGCCAAACTTCGTAAGGACCTTTAAACATTCGCTGTGAAAAACCAGTTTTGAATTCTGAATAAATAATATCAAAAATAAATATATATAGAAATATATATAGAAATAAAATAATAATAGAAAAGAAATAGTACGCAATACGATGTTAAATGGCGATCTTTCATGTCTGAAATTGGCATTTAGCTTTCAACTCCAGGATCTACATCGTGCTTCAGCTGGAAGATGCGAACACATTTAAACATACAAAAATAAACGACAAAACGTTATGGGGCTCATTTCAAAACGTGCACCTACCTACTTATTTCACATGACAATAATCCGTCCAATGAGAACTCAGTATGCAAAATTCATTGGGACTGCAATCGGTGAAATGCCGAATATAAAAGCGCAAA